CCGCAAAGATTGCCTTTTTCGTTCCCCCATATCAGCTCATCTTCTAAAGGAGACCGGGGAACTGAGAAATGAACTCAGTGCGGACGATAGACTTTCAAGGTTGCTTGCGAAGCAGTACACATAAACTAGTGCTACATTTAACGCCTGCTTGCTAGCGACTTCGAAGTTCCTCGATGACACTTGTGCTGGTGGTCAGCGTAATGTATTCGAATTTTTTGGCACTTTCAAGAAAAGTTTCTCCCTCCTCCTGTCTCTACTCCTGTGAGCACAGTTTTCAGTCGAATTCTATATGATCTGTTGTTGTCGATGTCTCTTAAAATATTTGCTGTCCCGTAAATTTAGTATGTCTCTTTTTCACTCTAAATTTAAGGGGTTTTAAAACGTTTGTCTCTATCTTTGTGCTGTGGTAGATCGAGGACACAAATGGCTGGTAATTTCAGACGTTGCTTTTCCTGCCGTTGGTAACGTTCATTTTGGTATACGGCAAAAGGCATATTTGGACATTCATTAAAGGACGCAGAAGTGTGTGGAAGACAGTTAAGGGACGCGAAAGGCCGGGAACATGACAGTGCTCAAGTGCCGCTCTGGTTTCCCAGTTTTCTGCATGAATGCGAAGATCAGGATTTCTGGGAAGCATCAATATGTTCTGGACAAAAATGCAGGATTTCTTTGTTGGCTTAGCCATTCATTTTTTAGTTGTCTGGGACAGCATTTGAATTCCTTTCTAGGATAATTTTCATTTATTCTACGTGTCTTTCGTCCTCCTCATTCTCTCGCTATTTCCTCATATAAAGTACCAAATTCGGTAAATTTGTAAACAGTCTGAGATCAGAGAACTAGAAAGCAATTCACTCGGCTGCTTCAGTGGTATCACATTCCTAGAACTGTTGCGAGAGTCGTGTTTATTGGAGACCAGAACTGCAGCTGGAGTGCCGAAATTTCAGTGCAAAGAACTGCTTCTTTTTGCTGCATGTGAGAGTTATTTCGGTATGCTTTCCCGGTGAAACGAACGATTCTTTCACTAATAACAATGTCCCTATTGCCTCAACTAACTGATCGCTTTCCCTCCTCTTTGTTAAGAAAAGATATGTGCTCAGAGATGTTTGTAGGCCAGAGTTCGATGAAACAGTTTTATAATACTGCCCGTCGTTGTCAGTTATTTTTCTCACTTGAAGTTTGTGAATACATCGACGCAGTTTTACTTGTAACCTCATTTTTCATATACTGTCAAAACACGTGCTTAAAAGGTACTATTTTTTTAGAAAATCGGCATCCCGTGCTGGTAATTCGAATAAATTTCTCAGTCCTGACATGAGTTAGAATAAAATATCAAATGCAACGTTAGGATTCGATGTGCAGTAGCTGTGGCTACAAGCGACGTCCATGTTTTTTCAAACATTTAAAAAAAAAAGACCTCAATGAGAATTTTGCTCACCTCTTTAGTATAACTGTGCTGAAAGCATTGACGTATAGATAACGAAAGCTGGTTACTGATGCAAATAGAGCAGCGAACGTTGGCCATAAAAAAATAAACCGGAAATGCCTGAAGTGCCTTTTCGGAGTCATTTAAACAGTCGAACTATCCGTCAGACGAGCGGCTTGTGGAACGTCTTTGTGTGAATAAGAGGAAGCGGGAAATTCGACTGGCAGGACGTGCTCCTTGCCTTCAATCGGTAGATTCTCGAAAAAGTAAACACCTGAAAAGCCTCTAAAGAGGTAGCGCACATCGGACAGGTAGTGGGCAACAAGAAACCTGGCGTAACAGCGTCCGACACTTGAGTTCCACTCCGAGAACGACACTACTGTGAAACCATCGCCCCAGTTGTGTGGGCGACTGTCACATTTGCCAAAGATATGCGCTAAAAAAGCGAGGAAAGGAAGGACCAGCGGATGTCGTGCCGATTGCTTTTGGTCACTGCCCTTAATTACGAGTGGCAGATTGGCATGAGCGGAAGTTTGGTGTCACTTGTGGCGCAGAATCAAGAATGTGGACACGCACAGTTATCAGGTTCATGCGTCTTTGCTGTGCGAGACTAGAGCACTGCAACATGCAACAAACACGTATATTGTGACGACCCTGTCTGTGTGTATGTTTATGTGTGTGTGTGTGCCTATTCGTTTGTTTGGTTGGGTATTTATACTTAGGAACCACGCAAGCTTTGGTACTGAAATTTTACCTGTGTGTTCTCTGGCCAAGTGCGGCACCAGGGACATGACATCAACCATCGCGCACGTTTGCGTCTCATGTACGGGCACGTGAAAATTTTTGGCGAGAGAACTGCTAGCTCGGGAACGAGAAAAGTTGGAAAGCTGGTATTTTAATAGGATGTTCCTACTTATGTACGACTGGAAAGTTTCAAATCCAGTTGCTTAAAACGGTCCGGGTCTCAAGTACAGACACGCCTCCAAGATTATGCAGCTTTGCACTGTAGCATACTACTGGCGATATTCGCTTCCGCTGCAGCAAAATTATTGCTTAGAAGTGACTGTTATGCCTCTCGTGGGGTTTTTTTCATGCATCAGCAACTTTCTTTTCGTCGATCACTGAAGCCGACATCGACAACTGACACACCACATAGTTGTACAATTAACTTCTTGAACTTCGAGGACCAAAAAAGTGCGCCACTAATTCTGGTTACTGGGAATTCATGCGCTTTTACTACAGCACGAAATAGTGCAGAACACATGACTGCACCAGATCGCATGGGGCGCATCACTGATTTTTATGCGTTTTTGCCTATATGCAAGTTGCAAAAACTCACATTACGACGACTCTGTCTGTGTGTGTATGTGTATGTTTGTGTGTTTGTGTGTTCGCCTGTCTGGATATTTCAACTCGGCAACCACAGAAGTTCCAGCGCCAAGATTTTGCTAGTAGGTTCCCCGGCCAAGTATCACCCCAGAACCGCGGTACCATCCCTCATGCACGTCTGGGCCCCGCGTACGAGGCGATGAAAGTCTTGGCGGGAAAACTGATAACTCGGGCACGAGAAAAGATAGAAAGCTGGAATTTCGAGGTTATGTCCCCTGTCCACATATAACTCAAAGATTTCAAATTCAGCCTCCAGGTGTGTGCGTTCCCGCGAATGGCCCCGTGAGATTTTTCGACGAGAAAATGGCTAACTCGGGAACTAGCGAAGCTGGGAAGCTGGAATTTTCAGGGAATGTTCCCAGATCATGTACGAATTAAAGTTATCAAATTCATCCCCCAGGCATGCACGATTCTCACGTACAGCCCCACGAAATTCTATGGCGGGAAAATGGCTAACTCGATAATCAGAAAAACTGGGAGGCTGAAATTTTCAAGGGATGTTTCCAGCCCATGCACGACTTAAAGTTATCAAATCCATCCCCCAGCCGTAGGTGGTCTTCACGTACGGCCCCGTGAGACTTTTTTGGCGAGGAATTGTTAAATTATTAAACCGCTAAACAGAAATTGTTTATTTCCTTTTATGCAAAATTTACGGTGATTTACGAAATTCAGCGCACAAGGTATGTGTGAAGAAACAACCGTTCGTCCAGTTAACCTAATTACTTCAAGTCTGATGCAAAGACGCATGATCGCACCGGCTCGTCTGGTGCGTTCCAGCCTAGGTTTAACAGCTCTCGATGATGAAGCATGCAAACTTGCACTTCCTATGCATTTTTGCATATATGCAAATTGCAAAAACGCATACGGGAAAGAGGCTGTGTGTGTGTGTCTGTCTGTCTGTATATTCGCACTTTTTGTCACCCACTTTCAACCCGAGAACCAGAAAAGCTAGAAGGCTGAAACTTTGGAAGTATGTGCCAACATTATGCACGACCCTCCCGTTTTAATATCATCCCCCCGCGGACGCTGGGTGCTGCGTACGGGCTCTTTGAAAAAATACGCAAGTTTTTTTGCGGAAAAGCGGTCTCGGGAACCAGACAAGGTAAGGGGCTGGAAATTTGTAGGGATATTCCCCGTGCATGTGTTAGCTAAAGAATTCAAACTCAGCCCCCAGGTATACACGGTACTAAAGTAAAAGCGTACGAAAGTTTTGGTGGGAAAATTATTAACTCGCGAACCAGGAAAGCTAGAAAGCTAAAATTTTGGAGGAAAGTTCCCTGTTCAAGTACAACTCACATATTTCAAATTCAGCCCCCCTGCTATGCGTTATACTCACGTAAAGACGTACGAAATTTTCTGCGGGAAAATTACTAACTC